CTGCAGAGGGACATGCCCGACTTAACGCTGGTGCCGTTCGAGCTCCCACGCCCGCCCCAACCCCGCTGGAGGAGGGCAGCCCTCCGGCCAGAACTGGCGAAAAGCGCGCCAGCTCTGGCCGCCTTCGTGGCACCTGCGGGTGGCCCAGCGAAGGCCCCGCCCCCAGGGAGGAGGAGGAGGAGGAGGAGGAGGAGGAGGAGGAGGAGAAGGAGGAAGAGGAAAAGGATGAGGGTGCGGAGGAGGAGGAGGAGGAGGAGGAGGAGGCTGCTGATGATGATGACAATGAGGACGAGGAGGAGGAGGAGGAGGAGGAGGAGGAGGAAGAGAAGGACAAGGACGAGGATTAGGATGAGAATTAGGATGAGGATGAGGATGAGGATGAGGATGAGGATTAGGATGATGATGATGATGATGATGATGAGGAGGAGGAGGAGGAGGAGGAGGGTTTTTTTATGGTGATGGTAATCGTGATGATGATGATGATGATGATGATGATGATGATGATGATGATGGATGATGGATGATGGATGATGATGATGATGATGATGATGATGATGATGATGATGATGATGATGATGATGATGATGATGATGATGATGATGATGATGATGATGATGATGATGATGATGATGATGATGATGATGATGATGATGATGATGATGAAAACGACGACGACGACGACGAGGAGGAGGAGGAGAAGGAGGAGGAGGAGGAGGAGGACGAGGATCGGCTACACGTAAGAGTGACCCTGGGTAAGTAACCTTTGGTGCGCGGCTTAACGGAGGACGCGGGGTGGCCAAACCTGGGCACGCAAGCCGCTGCTACCGCTTCGCGCTCAGCCATCTGGGGGCCCATCTGGGCCCGCACCGAAGGTCACTCCGGCGAAAGGTCACTCCTGCGTGTTGCCGAGAGGAGGAGGAGGAGGAGGAGGAGGAGGAGGAGGAGAAGGAGGAGGAGGAGGAGGAACCCGCGCAGAGCCCACTCCCGGCCCGGACCTCATCCACGAGCCCATCCAGGCCAGCTTCCTGCCTCGAGCCGTGCGCGGCCCCACGAGAGGCCCCCAAGGGAAGGCAGAAAAGGCCAGGGCGAATCCCGATCCCCCCCCCGACTGAGGGGCAGCGACAGGGGGAGGCCGGCTCAGGCAGGAAACATCGATCTCGAATCGAAGATGCATCGCCGATGTATCGGCGATGGGCCTCCCGTGGCGATTCCGCACGCTTCTGGGAGAGATGGGCGATCGGGCCCTTGTCGGCGATCAGCGGGCGATTGGGGGTCATTGCGCTCCCCCCTGAGCCTTATCCCCCCCCCTACCGCTGCCCCTCGAGGATCGACGGACCCGGGTCGATGCAAGCCCGGGCCAGTCGGGCGTTGCAGGATCCTGCAAGATCCTGCGGGATCCCGCGCGCTAGCCCAGGTCAGTGCACCCCTGGCGCTGCTGGGTCCTGCAGGATCTGGCTCTCGGGCGGACCCCCGTTTGCATCGACCCCCGTTGCAGCGCTCCCGAGCCCCTGGCCCCCTCGCCCCTCGGCTGCACGCAAGAGCGACCCTGGGCAAGAGTGACCTCTGGAGCGCTCGGCTTGCCCGGGGACGCGGGGTGGCCAAACCTGGGCGCGCAAGCCTCTGCTGCCGCTTCGAGCTCAGCGATCGGATGGCCCCGTTGGACCAGAAAGCAAACGACACCACCCCACCTACGGCCCCACGGGGCTCAGCGCACACCAGGAAGTCTGGCGCGGGTTCTTGCGTGGTACACGCTGCGGCCCCCGCCGGGCCGCAGCGCAGCAAGGGAAGGACCGTGCGCGGGGTGGCGTCGTTTGTTTTTTCTGGTCGACCCGCGGGGCCCGCACCACAGGTCACTCCGGCGAGAGGCTACTCCTGCGTGCAGCCGAGAGGAGGAGGAGGAGGAGGAGGAGGCGGGGGAGGAGGAGGAGGAGGAGGAGGAGGAGGAGGAGGAGGAGGAGGCCCGTATCACGAGGATGCGCAAGCAGGACGCAGGGGCCTCGGACGCCCACGCCGAAGCTTCCCGAGCGGGGCGCGCGGCCGGCGCACGTGGCCGAGGATGGACCGGGGAGGCAAGGATGCAAGGGGGAACCCTTGGGAAGGCTGCCCATCCTTACTGCGCGGGTTGACTGTAGAACAATCGTCCCCAGACCATTTCTTTAAGTGGTATTGAATTCTCCTGTGCCCGACTTGAACCTGGTGCCAGCCCGCGGGCGCCTCGTGGGCACCTGGCACGGTTTCCCCTTGGGAGGGCTGCCCATCCTGAGCATGCGGCCTGACTGCAGTCGATCCCCGCAAGCCCAGTGCCCAGCAGCGCCGCGCGCCAGGTCGGGCACGTCCCCCCACAGGCGGGCTCTGGGCAAAAGATCAAAAACAGGCAAAAATTGAAGCCAGCAAGAACAGTCGACAGCAGAGCAGAAAAAATCGTCCACTGGCTATGTTTTGCTCTTTTGGAGCATCCCTCCTGTAGGAGGAGCATGCCCGACTTCAGCCGCGCGCGAAAGCGCAGGCCGCGCTGCTGGCGGACCCCCTCGCCCGAACAACCGCCCACACCGGCTGGCAGCCCGCCGCCCGCGGGCCGCGTCGCCCGGGCGGGGCCGCTCCGCGCGGGCGGGGCTGGCCGCTCGTGCCAGTCGGGCGCGCCCGCGAGGGGGGCGTCCGAGAGGGGGGGGGGCGCAGAGCAGGACCGGCGGCATGTGCGGGGCCTGGGTAGGGGAACGAACAATGGCATGACCATCAAAACTCGGAGCTCCGCGCGGATATCTCGGATCGGCGCTGGACCACCCTGGCGGCGCCTCCGGCGCCGCCCCTGGCGCGCTCCGCACGACAAGGAGGGGGGTCCAGCGCCGATCCGAGAAACCCGCACGGACCTCCGAGTTTTTATGTTTATGTCATGTTCGTTCCCCTACGGGGGGGGGGCCAGGGACGTATCGAAAGCAGAAAAGGCGCCACGAACTCTGGGGAGATATCCATGGTCCCCGCCACGACGTCCATCCCCATCCACCCCAGTCACCACCCCCTTCTGGGCCGCCCCCCCACATACAAAGTTCTGAAGTTGGGTTGGGCATGTCCCCCTACAGGCGGATCTTGGAAAAATCGTCTAAACATACAAAAATATGTTGATACATGTATGTAGGTGTTGTAAAAGTAGACAACTATGATTTGACTAGTCTTGAATGCTCCTCCTGTAAAGGACATGCCCGATTTAATGATGGAGTGGGGATCACCCTGCTCTCCGCCAGAGCTCGATTAAGTTTTGTTGTTGCACGGGCTGCTGTGGCCTCTGCTGTGTGGCCACGGCGCTGCCCTCCTCGCCATCACCATTGCCGTCGTCCTGGTCTTCGTCTGGCTGATGGGCCAACTTTCCATCACCACTACCACATGTAGGACGGAGGAGAAGGAGGATGGAGAGGTTCTCTTCCTCCTCCCTCCTCCTCCTGCTCCTCCTCCTCCTCCTCCTCCTCCTCTCCTCCTCCTCCTCCTCCTCCTCCTCCTCCCTCTCTCCTCCTCCTCCTCCTCCTCCCCTCCTCCTCCTCCTCCTCCTCCTCCTCCTCCTCCTCCTCCTCCTCCTCCTCTCCTCCTCCTCCTCCCGCCTCCCCTCCTCCTCCTCCTCCTCCTCCTCCTCCTTCTCCTCCTCCTCCTCCTCCTCCTTCTCCTCCTCTTCTACCTATTGTAGTGGTGCGGTGGTGGGAAATCTGTGCCCATCACTGGCGGCCTCCTGGAGGTGGCCCGCCCGCTCCAGGCACTCGCCCAGCGCGAACTGCAACGCGCGCTGGCGCAGGCGCGCCCGCAGCGCTGGCGAGCCCGCAGGCATCGCGACGTCGACGCGGTCTATGAGGCCGCTGATGTGGTGCTCGGTCCTAGGGCGCAGGACGACGACCGCGGCGGCCACCACCATCGTCGCCCACGTTCTGAGGAACGCCTTGGGCTCCTCTGGGTCTCCAGAAGCCTCCGGAGACCTTTTTAGAGGCCTCTGGAGGCCTCCAGAAGCGTCTGGACACCATCGTCGCCGTCATCACAGACACATCGTCCTCGGCATCGATCTCACCGCACTTTTGATCATTCGCCAGGAGTTCAGATGTTGCCGCCGGATGGGGAGCTCGAGAAGCTGCCACTGGAACTCGTCACAAAGCTTGACAATCATGGCATTCAAACGGGGAGGAAGCAGAAATAGGCAGGTGCGGGAGGGGGCCGCATGAAGACACTATATCGAAATGTGACAACACACTTAAAACATGATACTGGCAGGTCACGGGATAGTCTCGCCGCTTTCTGCTGCAATCGCGTGCATCATCCGACAGTAAGGGCTGCAAAAGGGGATCGTTTTGTAATAGGCTGTTTAGAATGCCTGGTCGGGATACAAAGGAAACGGTAAACTAGGGATGCATGCCGGCCAAGGGCAATGGCCGAAGTCGAAACACGTGAGATGTGCAATATGTATGAGCGGATGTCTGCCGAGACGCCAGACGCGGCGTGAGTCAGCCAGGTATTCGGGTATTGTGTAAACAATACGAGACAGCTGTGTTAAGTTTCCGGCAGCTGCGATCAGGCTACAAGGGAGCAACTAGTGGACTACTGTTCGGCCACCATTTCGCCCACAAGTTAGTGATGGAATAAAACAGGAGCGAGCTAGAAGAAGAACTGGACCAGCTTTCCTTAGCAAAACAATGAGCAAGCTCAACGCACCGCTCTGATAACAAATCTGCAGGCTGCGAATCATGTGCGAGCGACGTACTGGAAGTCAAGTGCGAGTAATCAACAAACGACTTGGACGCTTTGACATAAATCAGCTACAAATCTAATAGACTGCACAGATTCTAAGGAGTGCTCTCGTGCGGTCCCAGATCTAGGGAATCGTTTCTCTCCGTAGATACGAACGCGTGCCACCAGCACCTTGGCTCGAGCAGACGACATGGGCCAATGGCGAGCATGGCTTAGACACTAATACACACGCCAGATCAATCGGTGATCGATGTATTTTCCGCTCAGCTGGCTGCAGGGCG